AAGGTCTGTCACAGCCAAAAAATACACTCCAGATACGCCGCTGGCACTAGAGGCACAGCATGGCCGCCTAGTAACGGCCCCGACCACTGCCGCTCGACCTGACCGGAAAAAACCGTAGCAGGAAGCTGGCGAAGTCGTAGTATATATATATATATATATATATATATATCGTCAAATATATATATATATATCGTCAAATAGATCCAAACACAAACATAGCACAAGTAAGGCCTTATGTTATCTTTCAGAGGGACACTGTAAGTGGTGCAGACTCCGCAGCTCCGGAATAATTGCATGAGCCTGCCAAAGAATGAGTCTGAATGTGCATCAGTTATGTGTTTCAACAGTTGAGGGGTGTACCAACTGAGGTAGGCCAGTTGGTGTATGGGCCTGATGCTATCTCCCAGAGGGACACTGCAAGTGGTGCAGAGTCTGCAGACCCTTGAGGTCATTGCACGATCCTGCCAAAGAATTGAATCCGAATGTGCGAGGACAACCTGTGTGTGGTGTTGGATACCCGTTGTTCATTCTCGTCATCTATGTGCGGCTATCTCCTTTTTTTCTTCCCCCCCCCTCCCCCCCTTGTCTGAGGCTATCTCATACACTGTCTAAACAGATGCTGGGAGCCAGAGCCAGCGACCTACGGTCTTACCTATTTTCATCCCGGTTCCCGGACCAACCCCTCCAATCACTCCTACCGGAGAAGAGGCTATGTGAGATTGGTAATGGAATGTTCACTGTGCTTTTTCTTTGGGGGAGGGGGGGACGAGGCTCCCTCTATTCCAAGGAGCGGCAAAAAAAGAAAGAAAAAAAGGCTATGTTATTTGAAAATCAGCCATCCCTGACAAGGAGTAATATTCTGCTCAGGGGTCCTTCGGCCTGAAGACCCTGAACGGACAGAAGAGGAAGCATGCTTGGGTGTGCCAGTCTTTATGTAATTTTACTGACGGATCGGGAATATATAGTCAAACAGGGCTGCCTACGGTAAACCGTGGGCAGAGAGGGAGGGAGAGAAGAGAAGAGGACAAGAAACGAGGGGCTGTGACAAACTGTTTCGTCGGAGTTTCACCAACAGACTCATCAGGAGGAGGCTGAACCCTCAACAGTCTGCAGAATTCCCTAATTGATTGCACTGTAAGTGATAATCCACCTTAAACCCGGCTGTGGTTAAGCATCAACGGCTGCCCGACAACTGATACCCCTCTGAGGTGGATTATATTTTGTTGACGAGGAACTGCCACTACCCTCGTGTGCTCTTTCCATATCTATAGACAAACACCCTGGTGACAGCGCAGTCCCATGAATGGGCATCGTATATGCCACCAGCTTTTGCCAAATATAACTTAAACAATCAGTACCTTTCCCATATGTCGGCAGCGGGCAGTCTTGGAGGCCCGAAACGAAAAGCGGGCCGCCGATTCCATTTATCAACGGTGGGCCTCCCCCCTTGGCTACCGTGTTACCCGGTGCGTCTTAGATTTCAAGGGCAGAAAGGTACTGTTTATTTTTTGTTTTTTGTTTATTTTTTTAATTTTAATTTAAACGTAAGGTACTGGTGTTTTTTTTTAATTTTAATTTAAAAGTAAGGTACTGGTGGTTTAACGTTTTTGAAGTTCTTTCCTTAAACCACCAGTACTTCCGAGGCACTTTTCTCCGATGCTGGAAACGCCCGGCGCGCCCAAAAAAAAACCGTATCAGCGCAACTTACTTTCTTGTGGCTGGCGGCGCCAGCCATTTTGCCGCGGTACCCGGCCCCCAAAAGTCGCGGCACGTTATATGACAAGGGCCCGCGGCTGATGTATGGGCCAAGTACGGGTGGTTTAAGCCTTAAGGGCGAAAATACATACCCGGTCAAGTACGATGAACCTAGGCGGTGCATTCCTGTAGAACCGCTCAATTCTGGAGCGCACAATCAGCAAGGGCTCTGTGTCTTCCTCCCAGACTCCTAGGTTATTGTCATTGAGATCTTCTGCAGATGCTTTGGGCTCTTCATCATCTTCTTTGGGCTGATCCTCCATTTCGCGAACAGGCGCATCACTTTCCGGCGAAACGATCACCTCCTCCTCATCTTCACTCTTGGCTCTGGTGCCTCCTCCTCCCATCCCAAAAGTTCTCAGAAGCCCTCCCCAGGAGGGGAGCTGCAAGATGGATCCGCTGCCACCGGAGTTGGACCCAATCGTGGCCCACGAGCTCATTTGACGCGGCTGTGGGATCGGAACCGGGACAAGGTCCCGCTTTTGGCACTCCTCCAGCCCCACCACTTGGGCCCCGGATAAGAACCCCGTTGCCAGCCAGTTCATGATCAGAACGTTCAGCTTGGATTCCTTGTCGCCTGCATTCAAAAACTCGAGGCTCGTTTCCAACGCCTTCTTCGTCAAAGTCACAGCATACCTCGCCAAGACTTTACCAGGAAACTTCCATTTCCCACCGCCGCCTCCGTCGAGCACGGCCTCTAGGACCACCTGCACAAAAAATAGCACCCAAAGAACAAGCCAAAAAAAAATCCACAGACAGTATCAAGTACTATCAACTCGGGTCATACTCACAGGATAACTTTTTTTTACTTACTCCTGGACGTTATTGCCGTCCGATACATCCCGCTCCAGCCCTATATGCGGTCACATACATTTACGATAGAGCTAGTATGAGTACTCCCTCCCTCTCACATTTCAACAAAAAAAACGAGAGTGTTATTCCCACCAGACACTGTGCAGCGTGCATGACTTCAATGAATGTCCGAAAAGCCTGGAAGGAGGCCAAGAACCTGCCAATTTCCTCTCCCCTCCTCCCCCCCTCCCCCCCTCCCCCCCTCCCCAATTTGGGCCATTTCTTGCATTTGTGCATGTTTATCGGATCCCTGCACGGAGGAGGTCTGCGGTCTGAGGCCCGATGTACAGATCCATAACTACAGCGGAAGCTCCTGTGGAACCTGCGGACCATTTAGACCAGCAGTACACCCGAGCCTGGAGGCGCTGCACTGCGCGCCAAGCTTTTCCGAACCGCCAGCAAGCGGCTCACTTTCTTTCCTTTTTTGGCTCGTGCGGCCAGCCATTGTGGTCGGGTAGGTCCGAGCTGCAAAATTGTCGGCGTAGGCGGCGAACAAATTTTCTGCAAGGGTAGGGCCGTGTACACCCGAGCCTGGAGGCGCAGCACTACTCGCCAAGCTTTTCCGAACCGCCAGCGGCTCACTTTTTTTCCCTTTTTTGGCTCGTGTTGCCACAACTTGCCGGCCATTGTGCTCGGGTAGGCCCGAGCTGCAAAATTGTCGGAGTAGGCGGCAAACAAATTTTCTGCAAGGGTGGGGCCATGTGCACCTGGGTCTGGAGACGTTGCCCTGCACGCCAAGTTTTTTCAAACTGCCAGCAGCTCACTTGTTTCTTTTTTCGGCTGGTGCGGCCAGCGAGTGTGGTTCACAAGGCCCGAGCTGCAAAGTTGTTGGAGTAGGTGGCGATGGAGCAAATTTCTGCAAGGCTGGGGCCGTGTACTGGCGGCTTAAGATCCGTGCGTGTGACCGGGTGATGGAGCAGTGGGGGTTATGTGCTGATTGGAGCGAAGTGTGCGAGAATTGCCGCCGCGTCCGTGTGGTGCGTGTCAAGTTGGACGCTTCAGCATTGCAGGGGTGGGGCGGATATCACGACCGGTATGGTTCCACTTTTAAAACACAAGTGTCCTGGCTGTAGTGGCAAAGATACTTGGCTCTTGGGCCAAGGGCGCCAGTTCAAATCAGTGCCTGCACAGAGGAGGTCTGAGGCCCGATGTACGGATCCATAACGACTGATCCATGGTCCATCGAACCCCACTTACTCCCCCCGCAAAAAAAAGAATGGTAAGGTTACGTTTCCCACCCATTTTCTCAGAGTCATGGCGCGCATGCAGACTCTCGGGAAGTACCAGGCCACCGTTTCTCTGGATATCCATCCAGGCAAAACGGGTCGCATGGGAGGCCCGTTTTGCCTGGATGGATAGTGAGTGAAACGGAGTCCCCGTACTCCCTGAAAGTACTCGCTGAGGCTTAAACAGTTTCCTCGCCGTTTCTTTAACAAGCGCTTGAATTTGACGGTCAGGATAATTCCAGAATGGGGAAGTTGTAATCGCAGGTTCGCTTCTTCTTCTTCTTCTTCGTCGTCGTCTTCCTTTTTTTGGGGGGCGAGGGGGTGGCGGGTTGCTTCTTGGAAGGGATGAGAATAGGGTAGACCAGGGGCCAAGTCCCACTGGCAAGCAGCATTGAGTTTCCTCAACGCACGAATCCAGACATGTTTATGGAGATGTGCAGAAATCGCAGTGAGTTTCCTTAACCGCATCTCTCCACAAGCACGTTCAGATTCGGGCGTTCAGGAAACTCAACGCTGCTTGCCAGTGGGACTTGACCCCAGGAGTTAGGTCCCACTAGCAAAAAGGATTGGATTAAGCTCCTGAATCTGGCTGTCGTTTATGCTGAGATGCAGAAAAGCAGATCATTCGCGAGCTTCTGCACATCTCCAGATACACGTCCACATTCGGGCATTAAATCCAATCCCCTTTGCTAGTGGGCCTGGATCCAGATGGACGGACATGAAGTCAACCGGGACAAGCTACTTATATGAGCCTGACTAGCCCATTGTGAGGCTCACTAACCCTGGGGCAAGGTCCCACTTATGCTAGGATAGTGAGCCGCACGACTCGCTATATCGGATACCACCTTCCCCTGGGGCCAGGTCCCACTTACCCGAATTCTCAATTTCTGAGCGTAGATTATGAAGATCAATGGCCAGAAATGAAGGATCCGGCCAGGTGGGACTTGGCCCCTGATGATGGCCAGGGTAACTGATGCCAACCAAACTCGTCAGGGATTGTCAGGACCTTTGCGGCAGCGGGTCTTTTATTACGCTGTCATTCGCCCTATTCTCGAGTCGTTGGGTTTCATTGCCCAATCTTTTGGAAAGCTCTCTTGGTATTCTCGAGATTCTTGCACGTACTGTGTACTACTGTGTACATGAGGGTCACCGTGTGTTCACTCTTTTCTCGACATCTCAGGTTGGTTCCCGTACCACGGTACCAGTTTGTTTGTCGGTTCTTTTCTTCTGTTCCTTTCTTCAGTTGGATTTGGTCAGGTTGGACAGATTGGGTTTTGGGTTGGATTTTAGATCAGGTGCATTGGATTTTAGATCAGGTGCAGAGTCTTCAGACTGTTGAAGTTGAAGATTGAGTTCAGACTGGGGTGCAGATTTGGGTTTGGATTAACGTTTGGGTTCGGGGTTGAGGTTTGGGGTTGAGGTTTGGGGTTGGGGTTGGGCTTGTGTTATGAACATGATTGTCTGCCGAAATTTTATCAGCACTCACTCACAGGAACTCCCGTACACGCCCATACATGCACAGAAGGAAGGGGAGAGGTAGTGGAGTATCACACCGCCCAACAGGAAGAAACGCAGCGGAAGACTCAGGGGAGCGAAGTGACAGAAAACACCAACAGTGAATTCTCTCCACACAATTCCCAACAATCATTCATAGAAGACAACCGAGTGATCACAGCCAGAAACCAATGAAGAGATGACAACTCGAACACAGTATTGCAACTGTTTATTAAACTCAGAGCACCGTTTTCACTGAATGACCTCAGAATCCTGTTGCGCTACCCTCAAGGGGGTAGCGCCTCAACCCCAACACCCTGAACAGCTAAAAATAGCACCAAAACCCCAGGTAACACCCAGCGCCACCCTGACATCAACTCAGTGGCCTGCGCCAAAGTGAAACAGGCTCCCAGAGCCAATCGCCATCCAGATGATGAAGAAGAAGCTCAGCGCCAACAGTCCCTGATGAAGACGAAGTCCAGACGATGATATCTCTGGGTAGATGCAGCTATGGCTGCATCGCCACTGGGACCCTACTCCTGAGGAGGGTCACCAGTGCACCACGTGCTCCAACGCATCAGACCTCAGATAGCCCAGACCGGTATGACTCTCAGAGAGTCAGAGCGGACAGCGTTGACCCCAGTCTGGTCAACGCTCTGAAGGTCTGGCTATGTCCGCCGTGTCCACACCGGAATCAGCAACCACGAACCGATACCGTGTGCGCAGCAACTTCCACCACGAAGTGTCAACTGCCAAAAGCCCTGCACCGGTGTCCCCATCCTACCTATACTTTCCACTAGCCTAGACCGACCTAGACCGGACTGATTGACCGACCGGTACCATTTTCGTTTCGGCCTCTCGGCCTCTCCCTACCCGGCTATAGGCTATAGGACCGTCTATCAGCATAGGCCCGTAGGGCCTGTCTGTCCTAGGGGTAGCCCGGGTCCGCTATTCGCAGTTAGGGTAGCTGTAGGAAAATCGGAATAGTACTAGGCCCATATTTCTATATTTACAAATATGTCCCTCACGAATTTTCCCTGCAGGCAGGTCTCTCGGTTAGTCCTCAGCCCAACAAAATTACGAATCTACCCCTAACTATGGTACAGCCTCGTCAGAGTGAGGCTACAGGCAGCGTGGAAACAGCAAGTCATTGCACTTGGGTTTGGGGTTTGGGGTTTGGGGTTTGGGTTAACGTTTGGGTTGAAGTTTAGGGTTTGGGTTTTGGGGTTGGGGTTGGGGTTGGGGTTGGGGGTTGGGGTTTAGGTTTTGGGTTAATGTTTGGGTTGAGGTTTAGGGTTTGGGGTTCAGGTTCGGGTTCAGGTTTGGGTTTGGGTTTGGGTTTGGGTTTGTTCTTTGTTGGATCAGGTTGGCGCAGATTTCTTCTCACTTGGTTTTGGTTCAGTGTGATTCATTTCCTTACTTCATCACATCATGTTCTGTTTTTATGCCTATCATCAGGTTCGGTTTGCTTTTCCGTTTTCTTTCTGTTGTTTTCTCTTGTTTTGCATGCCATGTTTAAATCCTGTGGGGGACCACTCACCCTCTAAGCCTAAGCATTGCTCAGTGAGCGATAGAGCACAATCAATCCTTCGATAAGATGCCGAGGCCCCATTAGCGAATCCATCCTTCAATAAGCGGCTGTTGTCCCACAAGTCTTTAACTGCCGGTTAGGTCACAATATGGGACACCAGCCTGACAGGCAAGGCACGGACTGCACATGCACCATCTTGTGTTTTCTCGAACCGCCGCTCTCAGATCTGTCATTCCATACCATCCGGTTGCATCAGATTCGAACTTGGATCTGTATTTCAACAGTTTATTGGTGTACCAACTGAGCTAGGCCCGCAAGGGCATACGTAGTATATTACTCGGTACATACATACCGTTGCAGATTTCTTGAACCTGCACTTAGAGCCGACGACATTCCACACCAACGTAGGCTGGTCCCACACCGCCCCGTCTTCGCGAGACGCGGATGAAAATGATGGCCCTTTGTATCCGAGAGGCAGAAAGTTCAAGACAACCCCACCCCTTATGAGCCCCTTCTGCTGCCGCTGCTGCTCCTGGACCCACTTCACGCCTACCACCTCACAGTGCAGCATTTCCTCCAGGCCACCATGGTACAGAACAGCCTGAAAGGGTAAAGGGTAAAACCGTAAAAGGTTAAAAATATTCACCGCGAACAGACAAGGTAGATAACTAAGATAAGTCTCTTTGGTTGGTTCCAAACCAATAGTAACAGTGCTAAAACTTTCACAGCAAACAGGCAGGATATATATATAGTGAGTGATAGTCTACTTTGATTTTGGTTAAGGTAGATTATCATTTACAGTGTAATCAGTGAGGGGATTCTGCAGACTGTTGAGGGTTCAGCCTCCTGATGAGTCGGTGAAACTCCGACGAAACAGTTTGTCACA